GCTGTTCAAACTGATAAATGAATTCAGTAAAGTTGATGGATACAAAACCAACATAAAAAAATTACTCACATTCTATATCCTAACAATGAACCACTTAAAAAAGAAATTAAGAAAAAGTATCATTTACAATAGCACCAAAAAAGAAAATGTTAATACTTGGGAGTAAATTAACCAAAGAAATAAAAGATCTACCCACTAAAAAAAATTTTTTTTTTGCAGTTTTTGGCTGGGCTGGGTATAAACCCGCCACCTCTGGCATATAGGGCCAGCGCCTTACTCCTTTGAGCCACGGCACCACCTCACACTAAAATTTTTTAAAACCCTAAAAAGAAGGCTTGGCACCTACAGCTCAGCAGCTGGGGCTCCAGCCACATCCATGTGAGCTGGCGGGTTCATATCCAGCCCAGGCCTGCTAAACAACAATGACAACTACAACCAAAAAATAGCCAGACACTGTGGCAGGCACCTGTAGTCCCAGCTACTTGGGAGGCTGAGGCAAGAGAATCGCTTAAGCCCAAGAGTTTGAGGTTGCTATGAGCTGTGACGCCACAGTACTATACCGAGGATGTCTCAAAATAAACAAACAAACAAAAAAAACCCTAAAAAATTAGACACAAATAAATGAAAAGATATTCTGTGTTTATGGATTAGAAAAATTAATATTGTTAAAATATCTATGCACTGTACATACTCAGTTTATTCCCTGTCAATGCCATTATATTTTATAATGGCATTTTTCACAAAAATAGAAAAAATACTAAAATTCTCCCGGAACCACCAAAGACCCCCAAATAGCCAAAGCAAAAGCAACAGAGCAAGAAGAGTCATACTACTTGATTTCAAAATACACATTACAAAGCTATAGTCATCAAAAAAGCCTGGAAATGGCATTAAAAACAGACATACCAGCCAATGAACAGGATAGAGAGCCCAGAAATAAACACACACATCTGTGATATATTGTTTCTTGACAAAACTGCCAAGAACACATACTGGGGAAAGGACAGTGTCTTCAACAAATGGGGTTAAGAAAACTCAATATTCACATACACAACAATAAAATTGGACTCTTAACACTATATACAAAAAGTAACTCAAAATGATTTAAAGGCTTAAGACCTGAAACTATAAAATTCTTAGAACAAAAAATTGGATAAAAGCTTCACACCCTTGTTAGGGACAATGGTTTTTTGGATATGACCCTAAAAGTATAGACAACAAAAGCAAAAAGTAAACAGATGGGATTGGATCAAACTAAAATGCTTCTGAGTGGCACAGTAAATAATAGAGTGAAGTGACAACACATGGCTTAGGAGAAAATATTTGAAAAAAAATCTGATAAAAGGATTCGTGTCCAGACTAAGGAACTCAGCTTAACAGCAAAAAACATCCCAGTTAAAAAATGGACCAAAGACCTGAATAGAAATTTCTTAAAATGAGACATACAGAGGGTTCAGAGGGTTAACAGACATATGAAAAAATGTTCATCATCACTGGTCATCAGAGAAATGCAAATTAAAACCACAACAAACTATCATTTCACACTTGTTAGAATAGCCATCATCAAAAAGACGAATTGGTGTTACTGAAGATGTGTAAAAACTAGAACCCTTATATACGGTTAGTAGGGATATAAATCAGTACAGCCATCTTAGAAACTAATGTATGGAGATTCCTCAAAAAACTAAAAATAGAACTGTTATATGATCCAAGTTCCTACATTAAACCTTTTACTGCATATTGTGTTTGGTTGACTTACTTGACTGTAAGAAGCAGAGACTGACTCTACCTCTGGTAAAAAGAGAATTTATTATAATGGTACACAGGCAGCTTTAGGGACTAAGCTATACTCATCATCTTTCTGTCCCAGGTCACCTATCTTTTTAATTACATATTCTTTTTGTGTTTGCTATTTTCTCGTTACTGCCTACCTTTTTTACAACTTACATTTTCTTCTTTAAGTTCAGTGTTAATATAGTGATCCTGACCAGGTGCAGTGGCTCACGACTGTAATCCCTGGGAGGCTGAGGCAAGTGGATTACTTGAGCTCAAGAGTTTGAGACCAGTCTGAGCAAGAGCAAGGCCTTGTCTCCACTAAAAAAATAAAAAAACAAAACTAGCCAGGCACTGTGGCAGGAGCCTATAGTCTCAGCTGCTTGGGAGGCTGAGGCAAAAGGATTGCTTCAACCTAAGAGTTTGAGGTTATTGTAAGCTATGAGACATCATGGCACTCTACCCAGGGCAACAGAGTGAGACTGTGTCTCAAAAAAATAATAATGGTCCATGGTCCTTTCTGGCCTTCTTATAGGTCATAGGCTCTTAACCTTGGATCTATGGCTGTTTCATCTTAAATACACTAAAAGCGTATAGCTATACATACGTGATTTTTGAGGGAAAGGATCTATAGCTTTCAATAGTCTCAAAGAAGTCTGAGACTTAAAAAAAGTTACTTAGGGTGGCACCTGTGGCTCAGTGAGGAGGGCACCAGTCCCATATACCAAGAGTGGTGGGTTCAAACCCATCCCCGGCCAAACTACAACAAAAAAATTAGCTGGGCATTGTTGGGGGTGCCTGTAGTCCCAGCTACTTGGGAGGATGAGGCGAGAGAATCGCCTAAGCCCAAGAGCTGGAGGTTGCTGTGAGCTGTGATGCCATAGCACTCTACCAAGGGCAACAAAGTAAGACTCTGTCTCTGAAAAAAAAAAAAAAGTAAGTTTTCCATTTCTAGCTTGTGAACAAAAATAAAATCCTAAGCCCCCAGCCAACCAAATGGAACTCCCTCTTGGCCAAGGGAACCCCAACGAAAACTTAAAACTGAGTGAATTCTTGGCCATAATAGGATGGATGGTCAAATGTTCCTCATTAGACTGCCCCCCCCCCCATTAATTGACAATACACTTTCTTCCCTAAGAATTAAGCAACCAGCCTTAGAAAAGACTTGCCTCACTGCTTTCAATCAACCTCCTAGTGCTGCTCCTCCCTTTTGAAATTTTGGTAAAATAACTGACCAGTATTCTTCCTTGATAAGAGGCCACCCACCATGGAATGGTTCTGACCAGTCTGCAGAGAGCGAACAGAGAAGGTTTTCATGTCCTTTGGTTCACTGTTTGACATCAGAGGGCCAAAAGCTCTATCCCTGGATCTTGTTAAGGTCACCATTTTCTGAACATGGATCCCATTTTTCATAAAACTGAATAGCATATGTGTATGTCTCTCCTTTCGTAAATATGCATGATGCCTATAGCTTGTAAAATACCCATCTTCCGCCATCCTCCTCAGCATAAATTCCTGTTCCCTTTGTCCCTCCCTGGAATGAAGTACAAGCTCTTGGCTTCTGCCTGAGGCTGTTGCTTCTCAAACTATCAGTATGCCTATGGCCACTCTGCCACCTGTATCCCTTTATGAGAAATAAAGCTGTGCTTTTTAAAGGTATGAATCTCATCATTTTCTTCAGTTTAAAATTATTGCTAACTGGCATTGAATCTATAAAGTCAGATACCTAAGAAAGAGACTCTGGCCCAGCCCATCTTTTTCTGCCAGCTTACAGATTCTCTCCTGCACTGTAGATTAGCTGTCCTGGTGTCAGATGTAATTTCCTGATATAAACATCTCTGTATGATTAAGAAACTTGACTACTTACACAATATAACTGATGAATTTCACTTAGCCATAGGAGCCTGAATATTAAATGGCATTACCAGTACACTTCCTTTTATTTGGCAATAAAAAGGAATGAAATATTAATACAGGCTGCAACATGAATAAGCCTTGAAAGCATACTAAATGGTAGAACCCAGTCACAAAAGACAATATATTGTGATTCCATTTACATAAAATGTCCAAAATAGGCAAATTTATAGAGACAGAAAGTAGTTTAGCAGTTGCCTAGGGCACAGAGAAGTAGGGAGAATGTATAGTGCCTTATAACAAGTAGTAGAATTTTTGGAGGATTGGCAAAAATACCCTAAAATGATGGTAATGGTTGTACAATTCTGTAAATATGCTAACAGTCCATTATATGTATTGTGTACTTTACGTGGGTGGATTGTATGATGTGTAAATTATATCTCAGTAGTGCTGTTAAGTAAAGATAATCCTAGCCTCATGAAATTTATAGTCTCGAGGAGTATAAATTGCATAAATTGAAAATAGAAAGTAGGTATAAGTACTTTTTGAAAAACGAGATTCTGGAATATGTTGGTAATATTTTATATATTGGTCATGTGATTCACCTTTAATTCTTTTGATAGAAATGAAGTCTTTATGGGAAGCAGGTATGATTCCATACAGATGCGCTGGAGAGCAGAGATTTTATGAGAGAGGTAGAACTGGAATTAGACCAAGAAGTAATAACTTTTTTTTGTATTAAAAAGGAAGAACGTTCAGCCCAACAGAAAATTGAGAATTTAAAAGCTGAGACTTGGGTGGCACCTGTGGCTCAGTGAGTAGGGTGCCGGTCCCATATACCAAGGGTGGAGGGTTCAAACCCAGCCTGGCCAAACTGCAACAAAAAATAGTCGAGCATTGTGGCAGGTGTCTTTGGTCCCAGCTACTTAGAAGGCTGAGGCAAGAGAATCGCCTGAGCCCAAGAGATGGAGGTTGCAACATGCTACATTTTAATAATTATGTATACGATTATTAACAAAAAAATGTATGCAGCTAACATGATTATTGACAAAAAATGTATCCAGTATAAAGAGATAATCATGTGACCTCTTTTGCTACGTTGGGCTGCTTTTAGTGGAAGACATTAAAATATCCTGAGATTTCAGTATTGTCAGCATCTAAACCATATCCACCTGACTGCTTGGTGAGAAGAAAGACTACATGGTAATGAAGAGAAATATTTTACATAATATGGTATGCTATTTAGATGTTTACTTTATAAAAGCAACTTATAACACTTATTCTTTAACATTTATAAAAATAAGAATTTACCAGAAATTTTCAACAGCTAGAATCTGTAGTTTAAAAATCACTTTTTAATTAATATATTTCAGTTCTGGAGGTGGTTTTTGGCAAACCTGGCTTCTGGTGGAGCTGCTGGAGCAACATCCTTATGTGTAGTGTATCCTCTAGATTTTGCCCGAACCCGATTAGGAGTCGATATTGGAAAAGGTATGGGATGTTTAGAAATACTTTTTCTCTTTGTGTTTTGAACCGTGAGTTATTAATTGTAGACTTATTCTGTAACAGTGTTACAAAAATCTAAAATTATATTCTTGACCAAATGGTAGTTATAGGGTCCTAAAGTATTACTTTTTTCTTTTTCCTTAAAAGATGGAAGGAAAAGGCCTATTTAGCAAAAGAGTGGACACAAAGACTGGTTATACCTTAATTCCACTTTTTTCTTAGAGTACCCTTCCTAGATTCCTTCTTATACTCACTCCTGTCTCAGCTATGGCTCCTCTTTAGATTAAATGTACAAATCTTACCCTAGAGAATCCCTTTACCTCTAACCTGACTTAAATATCACATCTTTCCTTTTTATCAGTACCCCCTTATTTTGGTAGAATTTGTTCTCTGGTATCTGTGTTTTGTTTTGTTTTGTTTTGATATTTAGAGATGAGGTCTCACTCTCTCACCCAGGTTGGAGTATAATGGCCTAATCATAGCTCTCCACAACCTCGATTTCCTGGGCTTAAGGGATTCTCCTAGCTTTCTCAACTAGCTAGGCCTATAAGCACTCACCACTACACCTGGCTAGTTTATTTTTATTTTTATTTTTGATAGAGACAGGGTCTCGCTATATTGCTCAGGCTGGTCTCAAACTCCTGGGCTCAAGCAATCCTCCCACCTCAGCCTTTCAAAGCTCTGGATTACAGGTGTGATCTGCCTGTCCTCCACCTGACTATTAGCTATGAAAGAGTGGATAGGAGATAAATTGAGATCTTGAGTATCTAAACATTTTTTTTTTACCTGCTGACTTTATTTATATTTGGCCACATATAAAATTCTGAGTTTATTTCCCTTCACAATTATGAAAACATAACCCTGGCTTCTAGTTTCAAATGTTGCTCTTAAGAAACTGTTTTTTTAAGTCCAGATCCTTTAGTCAGGTGACAGGGTTTTTTTTTTTTTCTTTTTAGTTACTTTCTATCCCTGATGATCTTACATTTTGCAATAACTTTTTTTTTTTTTTTAATGAAACAGTCTCACTTTGTAACCCTCAGTAGAGTGTGGTGGTGTTATAGCTCACAACAACCTCAAATCTCTTGGGCTCAAGAGATTCTCTTTCCTCAGCCTCCCTGGTAGGCTGCTGTTGTTTAGCAGGCCCTGGCCAGGTTCAAACCCACCAGTCTCAAAGCATGCAGCCAGTGCCCTAACTACTGAGTTGTGGGTGCCCCCTGCAATAACTATCTTATGCAAGTCTTTCTTCAGTTATTGTGGAAGTTACTCAATTGGCACCATTAAATCTGGAGCCTTAGGGGTGGAACTTGTGGCTCAGTGTGTGGGGCACCAGCCCCATATACTGAAGATGATGGGTTC